AAAGTGCTTTACAAAAATGAAAGACATTAAGAAAATGGCATTAAAAAGCAAAGATAATAAAAGTTACAGTGCAGTTTAAGATATGAATATATCAATTAAAAGCAGCGGCAAAAAGAAAAGTCTTCAGCCTGGATTTAAAAGTAGTAAGAGTTGCAGCGGACCTGCATGTTTCTGGTAGTTTTGTTCCAGATATTTGGAGCATAATAACTGAACGCTGCTTCTCCATGTTTAGTTCTGACTCTGGGGACAGAAAGCTAACCAGTCCCTGAAGACCTGAGAGATCTGGATGGTTCATAATTTAGCAGGAGGTCAGAAATGTATTTTGGGCCTAAACAATTCAAAGCTTTATAAACCAGCAGCAATATTTTGAACTCAATTATTTGACACACAGGAAACCAGTGTAAAGACTTCAGAACAGGGGTGATGTGATCCACTTTCTTAGTGTTAGTGAGGACTCGAGCAGCGGCGTTCTGAATCAGCTGCAGCTTTCTAATAGATTTTTTAGTGAGACCTGTGAAGACACCATTACAGTAGTCCAGTCTACTGAAGATAAAAGCATGGACAAGTTTTTCCAAATCCTGCTGTGACATTAGTCTTTTAATCCTAGATATATTCTTTAGGTGATAGTAGGCTGATGTAGTAACTGTTTTAATGTGACTGTTGAAACTCAGGTCAGAGTCCATGACTACACCTAGATTTCTGGCTTTATCTGTTGTTTTGAACATTGCAGGCTAAAGCTCAGCAGTAACTTTTATACGTTCTGCCTTGGCTCCAAAAACCATTACCTCAGTTTTATCTTTGTTTAATTGGAGAAAGTTCTGACACATCCAGTCGCTGATTTGTTCAATGCACTTACTCAGTGTTTGAATTGGAGAAAAGTCTCCTGGTGAAATGGTTATGTAAATGTGTGTCATCCGCATAGCTATGGTAACTTATTTTGTAGTTTTTCATTATCTGAGCCAGTGGTAGCATGTAGATGTTAAAGAGAAGAGGCCCCAAGATGGAGCCTTGAGGTACCCCACATGTAATATTTGTCAACTCAGATATGTATTTACCTATAGTAACAAAGTTGTTTTCATTCAAACCAGTTTAGAACTGTTGCCGAAAGTCCCGACCTGTTTTCCAGTCGGTCTAGTAATATGTTGTGGTCAACAGTGTCAAACGCAGCACTGAGATCTAATACCGTATTGACCCTAGAAAAAAATCTTAAAAAGAGGGTTGTCTTATATTCGGGGTCTAGACTTTTCAATGTAATTACACAGTCACAACAACAGATGGCGCCAAACGAGCGTTCTGAGACACCGTCTTAAAGTAACAGTACAACAGGAGAGAGAGAGACACAGAGACCAACTCCAACAAAGTGGATCAAAAGTTAATAAACAAGAGAGGCGAAGTTAAGATGCCAATTTCAACATAATGGTGATAAACGAAGCAGAGTCATCAAACAACTGTGCTGGGGACTGAACCCCCCAGCACAGATTAACACCACACTGTAACTTCTCTTATGTAAACAAAGCCTTTCAATCAAATTCAAATCCAAGAAATGAACGCAGTTGAAAGATAAGATAATATAATATAAGATAAGAGGTACTTTATTGGTCCCAATTTGGAAAAACAACCTCTCGCTGATTTTGTTGTTATTTGTTTGTTGTTATTGTACCTGGGAGGGGCAGGTGGAGCTGCTGCCGCTCCAGTTCCCGCTGGAGGACTGGTGGTCGTCCTTGTGGTCCATGTGGCCCCCCAGCGAGGCTCCGGGGCCCCGGCGGGGGCTGCTGAAGGTGTCTGAGCTGGAGGAGATCTCCCCCCCACTCCCCATGAGGCTCCTCCGGCCCTGGATCCAGCTCCTCTCCGGGCTCCTCTGCTGGGGGTCCTGGCCCTCCTCCTGCTCTCCGGGGCCCGGCAGGAAGTCCTCCACGCTGAAGGGGGGCCTCTCATCCTCTGGGCCCCGGAGAGGGTCTCTGGGCAGGCTGTGGGACCTCAGGTGGGCGAGGGGGAACATGTTGCCGTCGGACAGACTCAGGAGGTTCCCCGCTGACAGGGACCCCCGCTGAGACCTCCTCCTCCTGGAGGGGGGGATCAGGAAGTCCTCTGTCTGGCAGCAGGAGTCTCTGGTGCCCAGGATCAGGTCCTCCCCACTGGGCGGGCCGAGGATCACCCTCCGTCGCTCTCTGGAGCCGGGGGAGTCGTCAGAGTCTAGAGAGGGGGGGACATCAGGAGATATTAATACAATCAAACCAATACTTGATGGACAGTATCAAACATCTATCTATAGATCACACACACACACACACACACACACACACACACACACACACACACACACACACACACACACACGGACTAAGTTGAACATTATAAATCTCTCAGTGAGTAAAGTATCGTCTGTAGAGTCCCCGCTACGTACCGGGGTCGTGCAGCAGCTGTCGGGGGGGTCCGGCCAGCGTCCTCCTCCTCCTCAGCTTCCTCCTCCTCTGCAGCAGAGACGTGGAGTGAACCAGAGAGCAGCGAACACTGGAGTCTCTGTCGAAACACACACCTACGCACACACACACACACACACACACACACACACACACACACACACACACACACACACACACACACACACACACACACACACACACACACACACACACCGTCATAAGAAAGCAAATAGAGTAAAACAGGCTCATAAAGAATAACACATGTATCAAAGTTGCGGTGCAGTGAGATGTGAACCTCGTCACAAAGCCTAACGTTTACTCCCTCTGAAGAAATGAAAGTGTTTCCCAGAGAGTGAATCTTCCAGATCTGTTGGAGAGTTCCTGAGAGAAACTTCCTGTCTCAGAGTCGCCCCCCCCCCATGCTAAACGGCTCTCATGTGATACCGTCAGCCTTTCAGCTCCATAGAGATGGTTGCTCTCTGTCTACAATGTGTGTGGGTGTGTGTGTGTGTGTGTGTGTGTGTGTGTGTGTGTGTGTGTGTGTGTGTGTGTGTGTGTGTGTG